CAGCGGCTCCCCGGGCACTCCTGACCAGCAGGGTATGACGCTCGCCCTCCGCCTTGATGGGCCGCGTCGTGCTGCTCCGCAGCGGGACCCCGTCCTTCCTCCAGGACACTGCCGGCAGAGGCAAAGGTCACTCCTGGACAGGAGAGCCCAAGCTCCCCCGGAGGTCTGCACAGGGTCCCGGTGAGGCCAGGAGCTCCCCTGCCCTAGGGAGCCCTTTGCCATGGGGTTCCCACAGCCCCTGACTGAGAGCAGGGCTGGTCCCCATCTGATTCCTGGCATCCTCCTGCCCTCCAGTGGAGGCTGGAGGAGGGAATCAAAGCTGCTTGGCTTCTGCCTGGCTCTTTGGGCTGGTACCGGCTCTAGCTGCCCACCTGCCCCTGCTCAGCGTGGCTACAGCGTGCCTGGAGCCCATCAGCCCTCAGCTGTGCACAGGGGCTCTTCCCCCGGGAAACCACCCGGGCTGTGCCAACAGTAGCCCAGAGCATCTCCTGTCTCTGCCCACCCAGTGCTCTGCGGCCCTTCTCCCACTCTCCCAACATCCCAACTCAGCGGGGTGGACGGCAGACAGCCTGCACGCACCCTGTGCTCCGCACCCTGCCCTGGCAGGCCACGGTGGCCAAGCTCTTCACTCCTGCCTGGGGGGAGGCAGGGCGAAAGGGGTGCTCCCGAGGTGGGCACATCACCTCCCTGAGACATCCAGCTCGGGGCTGCGCATCCCACCCCGCACAGTTGAGGTAGCCCCAAGGGACGGTTCAGCGGGTGGGACAAGGACATGCAGAGAGCTTGTCCACCACACTCGCATCCCCCAACCCCCTAGCCCCACGGTCACTCACCTTCCGGCTGGGGGTTGGCTGTGACAATGCACTTAAGCAGCACCTCTGCCCCCACGGCCACTGCCATGTCCTGGATGGGGATCTCAAAGATGGGGGCTTCCAGGGGGTCTTCACCCGCTGAGACATAGGAATCATCTGAGGACTCTGGACAGGGAGAGATGGGCCCCATGGCTGTCAGTGAGGTGGAGCGAGCGGGTCCCGTGCCACACCGGGATGCATGCAGGCAGAGCAGGGGTCCCGCAAGCCTCTGCCCATCCCTGCCAGCATGTCTCCCACACCCTCACTGGGGCATTAGCAGGTCCTCGGGCTGTGCAGTGGAGGAAAGGGCCACATCAGGGGCCACCGTGGCACAGCGCCTGCAGCGGGACAAGGCAGGGGACCATGGGGCAGGGAGCATACAGCCTGCTGTACATCCCTGTACAGCGCAAGCGATGAGGAGTGTGGAAGGAGGAGGGTTGTGCAGCCCACTGCAGCCCAGGCTCTGAGCTCCCTCCGTCCCCCAACAGGGTGCTGGCTGCTTTTCCCCACCACATCAGCATCAGCCTCCCGGCTCCCCCCGCTCCCATGGCCCCAGTACATGGGCAAAGGTCCTGGGGCTGCGCCAGGAGCCTTGGGCACGTGGGCCTGGCACTGCTCCGGACAGAGCAGAGCCTGGAAGGAGCTCCCGGCCCGGGTGCAGTATGGTCTCATCCTGGTGTGCTGGGATGAGCAGGGCACCTCTCCTCTCGCCGAGCCACCCTGGGGACTTTTGGGCTGCACGCCCTGCCTGGAGCACCGAGTACGGTCCAGCCAGGACAAGCTGCATTAGGTGCCCTGTGCCTCGCGGGGGGCCGGACCAGCCCCGGGGCTGCGTGCCAGAGGTCAGCACCCTGCGTCCTTCCCGCGCCAGGCAGGAGGGACAGAGATGTCAGCAAGCCTCATGACCTCAAGGCCCGGCAAACTGGTACCCAGGCTGGTCTGCCTTAAAGCCCTGGTTGGTGCCAGCATCCCCGACCTGTGGAGCCGTGTCCCCCCGTGGCATCCCTGCGCTCTATAGCACAGCCGGGACTCCCCACACCTCCCAGGGCCAGGCTGGGGGTCCCCCATCCCTCTCAGGGGCTGGCTGGGCCAGCTCTGTACCTGCAGGAGGGCAGAAAGCCATGCTCCTACCTAGCTCCGGAGAGGTGGGCCTGACTCGCCGCCCCTTCCCCTTGCTCCGTGTGCTCCTGCTTTCTTGAGCCGTCCGGCCACTCTCTTTCTTCTCCGACACTTTCGTCTGCCTTCTCTCCACCTCCCTGCCCTCGCCGTGCTGCCCTGCCCAGCTCCTCTCCAGGCGAGCCTCTTGCTCCATCCCCGGCTTCGCCCAGGGCAGGAACCGCACCTCCGCAGGAGCCTC